ATCTATTGAAATCTGACTTGGCTACTTTATTATCACTAAGCTTTAGAGAGAGGTGAAGAATTGGAATCCCGTATCCCCAAATCCCTCTCATACTGCCACCCCTGGACCCTCACCTGTGTCCTACTGCCACCCCTGGACTCTCACCCGTGTCCTACTGCCACCCCTGGACCCTCACCTGTGTACTACTGCCACCCCTGGACTCTCACCTGTGTCATACTGCCACCCCTGGACCCTCACCTGTGTCATACTGCCACCCCTGGACCCTCACCCGTGTCCTACTGCCACCCCTGGACTCTCACCCGTGTCCTACTGCCACCCCTGGACCCTCACCTGTGTCATATTGCCATCCCTGGGCCCCTCACTCGTGTCCTACGCCTACCCCTGGGCCCCTCACCTGAGTCATACTGCCACCCCTGGGCCCTCACCTGTGTCATATTGCCCACATCCAATCACTATCCAAATCCTGCCGCATTCACCTTCGTAACCTCTCAAAAATACGCCCCTTACTCACCAAAGAGACCGCCAAACTTCTCATCCACTCCCTTGTTATCTCTCGTCTTGACTATTGTAACTCCCTCCTCATTGGCCTTCCACTACACAGGCTCCTCAGCTCCTCCCATACTCGCCTCCAGGAATTTTTTAGAGTCTCTCCCATCCTCTGGAACTCTTTACCCCAAACTGTCCGTCTATCTCCCACCTTGACTGCCTTTAGGCGTTCCCTAAAGACTCATCTCTTCAGGGAAGCCGATCCCACCTCAACCCAACCACTGAACCATCACGTTCTCAAACAATTCATCCCCACACAGCTACCTTTCTCTGAGGACCTCATATCATGACCTGGGATCACAACTCTTTATGAGGACCTCTTTCAATCCAATAACGCAAGAAGCAGAAGAGTGCCAAAGTCCAGAGGAACCAGGTATGATGTAATATTGTAATACCTCCTGTCCCCTATGGTGTCTCCTTCCTTCATTGTCCCCTATGGTGTCTCCTTCCTTCATTGTCCCCTATGGTGCCTCCTTCCTTCATTGTCCCCTATGGTGTCTCCTTCCTTCATTGTGCCTTCTACCTCCCCTGTCCCCTATGGTGCCTCCTTCCTTCATTGTCCCCTATGGTGCCTCCTACCTTCATTGTCCCCTATGGTGTCTCCTTCCTTCATTGTCCCCTATGGTGTCTCCTTCCTTCATTGTCCCCTATGGTGCCTCCTACCTTCATTGTCCCCTATGGTGTCTCCTTCCTTCATTGTCCCCTATGGTGCCTCCTTCCTTCATTGTCCCCTATGGTGCCTCCTACCTTCATTGTCCCCTATGGTGTCTCCTTCCTTCATTGTGCCTTCTACCTCCCCTGTCCCCTATGGTGCCTCCTTCCTTCATTGTCCCCTATGGTGCCTCCTTCCTTCATTGTCCCCTATGGTGTCTCCTTCCTTCATTGTCCCCTATGGTGTCTCCTTCCTTCATTGTCCCCTATGGTGCCTCCGTCCTTCATTGTCCCCTATGGTGCCTCCTACCACCTGACCCTCCTGAACAAATGCAAAGTAATTCTAAAGCACAAATACATCATTTGAAGGCTGGGCTCTGATTCGATCGTCTAAAACAATCTTTTACATTCAAATATTTTACTTTTTAGGTTTATTGATTCTTTGCAGGAAAAAAACATTATCTATAAAATGTGAAAGTGAGAAACACGAGAAGATCCGTCCAGGAGGTCCGCAGAGGATCCGCATCTCGGAGATGTATAATTGCTCAGTCCCAGCTTTGTGTCACTGGGAGGTGGAAGAGACTTAATGAGCTCTGAGAGAACCAAGAGTCCGTCCTCCGGGAACCCCTGAAACAAGCTCTGGGATCATCAACAGTCCGTCCTCCGGGAACCTCCGATATTTCATAAATAGTGCCGGAAAATCAACCGAGCTAAACAAAGAAAATATCTGCAATTACTGCGACCCCCGATGTCATCTCTACGTGAACCCCGACATACAGGTGAGAGAGCTGAGAT